CCCCAAAACCCCAAAACCCCAAAACCCCAAAACCCCAAAACCCCTAGTGCTATTTATCAAATTGAATCTTTTTTAATAAAAGATGTTTTTCTTTGACTATTCGAGTGACGAAGAGGAGAAATCATTGACTCTCCCACAAATCCCAGATTGTTTGATAAATAGGAATCTTGATGTAGGATTGGGTGTTCCAAGCCCTCCCATCTTTCCTCAAGAGAACTCTCATTTTAGTAGCTTTAATGAACCACAAATGAATGAGACTGATATCCCTGGTGAACACAGTAAGGAAACTTCTGAAGATATGACCAAACTCCAGATTAAGAGAATGAAGAGCAAGCTGAGGTCAAAGCGGTCTAGAGACCGCAAATAAATTGTACCTTGAGAATCTTGAAGCTAAAGTTAAGGAGCTTGAAAAAGAAAATACGAGGCTGAATAAATTAATAAAGGTAATACTAAAAATAAAAATAGAATTACCAAAGAAACAAAGTCTTGGAGAGGGACACCAGAGCAGAATTTGAGGAAAAAGTTCATTCCCAGAGGGAAAAAATATTGAAAAAGTTCATGGATCCCCAAACAGGCAAATATAACGAGAAGACTACTTTTAACCTCTCAGAGAACTTTCGTCGAAAATCTCCAAAAATCTTGGAGACTCATTTAAAAATTCTAAATGATAGTTTTGAGGGTCTTTTGCAAAATCTTTATCCAAATTTTGCAGTTTATTACTTAAAAGACTTGACTAGTGAGTATCTAAACGAAAAGATCAAAGATTATGAAGTACTTCGCAAGTTCAATAAATTGACGAAGTATCAGGTACCTGAATATCTGAAAGAGCACAATATGAACACATGAGATTTCTTCATAGCTTCTATGAATCCTGATAAAAGACAATATAATTTCTTTAGGCAGAATTTCCTGCCAAGAGCCTTCCAGATCAAGGAATCCATTATAGAAGGAGTCAAACTTTTGCTTAAGGGCAAGGAAATTTTGATACAAAATACTTGAGAATTATATGCATGTAACGGCCTTCTCTTAAAGTCAGGAATTTTCAGTGATAAGCAGCTTATCAACTCAGATTTTGCATCTTTGGATACCTCAATGTTTGACCTCGTACAAAAATGGAAATGGGGAGTCAAGAGGGAAGGCAAAATTTACTCCTATGATATGTCGAAAGACTCTTATCTAGCGAAGAGTACTAAAAAGCATTTTGACAAGAGCGATTACATTGTTTCCATCAAGGGTGAGTGCTTTAGCCTCTAAATTATGCACAAATGATTAATTTCCAAGGCTACCGAGCGAAGCTCGGTCAGTCTTGTTGGAAATATATTTCATTATAATTTGTCTGGTAACGCGGCTCATTGCATAAATCAGAAAGCTCAAAAACTGCTATTAATCACGTTCGCTTTTCAACGTGACAAATTCGGAAAGGGGTTTTGGGGTTTTGGGGTTTTGGGGTTTTGGGG